CACGTTTTGTTGCGAAACCTCATGCAGGCAACACTACACGATACCCGGTACTGGCACTCACTGCAATTAGCACTTCTCCACCGCATTATGCAAGGACTTATGTTAAAGATGTCCTGCTGCTCCTTGGCTACGGCTGTTCCCAACCCAAATTACCCAGGAGAAAAGGACACTTTAGCACTTTGCGGCTTTCGACTGGCAGAATTACAAATTCAAATGCCAGACAAGTGGAGGAAATTGAGAAAGGACCTGGCCAGCGCAGGACGAAAGGACGAAGGGGCGTTCCATAATTGAAATGGAAACTGAGGTGACCGCAGAGTGACATAAAAACGGAATACAAACACATCCTAGTCGTGTAATAAAGCTAAAATAAAACAAGATTCTAAACCCATACTATGGATAGAGGAGAGTATCTATGAGATAGGTGGTATCTGTGTGTGCGTAGTGGTGCATGTTTGTGTTTGTATTTGGGTTTAGTTTGCGCTTAATAAACTGTTTAAGTTTTGAAATGTAGACGGCTCTGAGTGGCAGACAGTCGGGCCAACTTATTGTTCAAATTGTGCCACAGGCTCAGGCAGAGGCACAGGCACACACGAGTGTATGAGGCACGTATGCGAAGATACACGGATACTCAGATACACAGATACAGATACACGTGACTGCATAATAAGCAAGTGCTTGAAAGGCCTCAAAAGCAAACAACAGCAACAGAAACATCAACACGAGTGGAACCAGCCACCTCAACGATTCTGTTTGGGTTGCTGATGATGCACATCACTGCCCAGGGACGCGCAGGGGCTCTGCGAGGCACTGGGAGGTGGCAGGTGGATGCTATGGCGGATGCTATATGCTCCAGCATGTTTGCCGCTATGCAAGTGTACGCACATTTGCATAGATTCCCAGCATCACGTTCGCGTCTCACCTGGCCAAGACGGCAGCTGGCTCGAAGGACCAAAAGCGAAGCAGCTCAGCCAATAAACACCAAAGGGTATCCCGACCAAATGATGGATTGGGATTTGGGCAAAGCCTCTCCAAAAAAGCCACTCCCCGTCCAATCTGGCTTTAAGAGTGTGCTTCGTAATTATAGAGACACTCGAGATGGGAATTAATTACACAATTGGCTGGTTGGGGGGGCTGGCTGGGAGGTATCTGGCAAGGGGTCTCCGCCACATTAATTAGCGTTCATCAATCATGTTTGACCGCAGCCGAGGCGCCGAGTCAGTGGCCAAGGACACTTGAGCCACGGCCACTGGAGCCTCCCGGCTCCTTCAGGACACACCCTCAAGTCTGGCGCAAATATTGCGCAATTTGTCGTCATTATCCAGGATATTGAACCTCATAATGTGCGAGGACATCATCAATTTCAAACAAAGAATAAAAAACCAAGGAAACCGAAGAGAGTGTCCTTTTGAAAAAATTATCCCGATAAGCACTCAGGGTGTTTGGGAATCAATTAAAGTTGACACTTGGCTGGGGTCCTTTGGCTTTACTAAAGGGATTAGCGGGGAATTAGTACCGGATATCATATAGTCTATCCCCAGCTCTCCATTCTTTAGGGAGTCTTTTAATTTAAAATAGACTTTCATGTTCTTGAAAGCCAACCATTAAGCTTGGATATCCTTGTTGTACCACTGGCTCCCCAGCCTCGATTAAAAGCTGGTCGTTAATATTTCATTATTTATGCCCAGCCAGGGACAGGATAATATTTCCTTATTTAACCCACAGTCGGCAGCAAGGATAATTCAACTGGGATGGAGATAATTCACGGGCCATGGCCATGCCGAGTAAAAAAAAAATAAAAATCGAAACGAAACGTAATCGATGCGATACGATTCGATTCGATTTAAAGCCGCAATTTTCCCTTGACTCTGTTAGTCCTGTGAGTGTGCTGGTGTGCTGGTGTGTGTGTGTGTGAGTGTCAGTGGTTTGTGTGGTTTCTTTCCGTTTCTGTTCCCATTCCACGTTCCCCATCCTCCCATCCTTCCAGTAGGTGGGTTACACTTGCCCACCCATCCTTTGCATCCGTTCCATTCCGTTTCCCGCTTTCTCGTTCGTTTTGCTTCAGTGGCAGACTGAATTGACAATCATTTTACACTTGGCAGGATATTATGTAAATTGCTTTTCATATTTGTGCAACATTTAAATTTGCAAACACCCAAACACCCACGCAGACACCCGCATCCTCTCTCTCTGAAGGTAAATATATATAAGCGGATAAGAGGGCGTGGCTGGATGGCGGCTGGCAAGTAAATCACGGCGACTTTGGTAGATGGTGTTGATGTCAAAGCAAAGGCAAAAAAAAAAAAAAGGATCCCAGTATCCCAGGATCCCAGCAGCAGCAACATCATTATAACGATAGGCGGGCTGGCTGCCTGGATGGCCCAAGGGCTGATTGAATGCCAGACTGACAGAATGACAGACCAGCGGACTGAGCGAATGAATGAATGAATGAATGACGGAGTGACTGGTTGAACGACTGTCAGACAGAGAGAGCAAGAGGGGGAGACGGAGTAAGAGGGACAGCGCTAGTGTCGAGGCCTCGGGGAGAAATTAACGATGCGTGAAAAGTCTCTCGCTGATTTCAAATGGGCCATACCTATCCAGTGAGAGAAAAAAGGGGTTTCTACAAATAATATTATCATCCTTGAAATCTCCTCCTTTTTCTCAGTGCCCCCCCAAAAAAACTCGATTTAATGGGTAACCGCCCGTCGACTCGTCTACTCCTTCTCCTCCTTTTTTTTTGTGGATTTTGTTTATGCCAAACAGAGTGACTGTATCTCTGCCTCTTTCTCCGCCCCTGGGCGTGTCTCTGCCTCTTTTTTTTTATACTCTTATCCCGCTTTAGTGTTTTTGTTGTTGGTTTTCCCTGGCCCGGCACAAAAAAAAAGGGGGGAAAGCAATCGCAATGTGTCAGTTTTAATGGGCCTGCAATTGCCGCAGGCGCTTGATGTCTGTCCCCGTCTCTTTCGCTCCGTGTGCCGCTGTCTCTGTCGCCCGCTCCCTCCCAGTCTCGGTTCATACTTTTTCCAACTTGCCTGCCATCGATTGGGTGCTAAATGCATTTGCAGCGGTTCAAAAATCTCCAATTAGGCCCTGGGCACAAGGACATAGACATAGATGGGCTTCCAAAAGCCAGGCAGGTCCTCCTCCCAAAAGCCACAGGGCATGCAGGTCCTGCCCAGTTTTAATCAATCCTTGATGGATTTTATTTAATGATTAGTTGCAGCCACAAACACAAGCCACAAAAAAAAAAAAAACGTGGGAGCTCCACCTGAACTCCTGGAAGGATCTCGAGTTTCTGAAAGGATATCCAATATCCTGGTATTGATTGATGTCGACAGTCGTCTGGAGGACATGCAACCGAATGCTAGGCTAATTGGGACCCACCATCCGGCCAGCAGCATTACCGACAAAAAAGATGGCATTAATTCATTTGACCGATGTTCCATGGACTAATTGGTTTAATGTTACGCATACGCACCGTGGCACCGTGGCACCGAATGGGGCGCGTGCTGGAAATTGATGAGTCTACTTGTTTTTGCCAGCACATAATAACAGCTAATTAAACGAATGAATTTAATGAAAAAACTCACATTGATTGACAATCCAGTCGAGGCAAATAGCAATAATTAATGCAAGTATAAATTACATTTTAACACATCACTCATACGCCCCATATACACACACTCATTTCAAATGGTCTTTATGGAAATAATTTAAAAAAAGCCATTCGACATTGTATATTTACATTCGAATGAAAATTAATAGGAAATTAATAAGGGAATCGTTTAAGGTATTAAGCTTATGAATCGCGTCAATATTGGCCAAGATATAGCTATAGGAATATGCCACATGTGAGCTTCCTAGAAAAATTCGAAAAAAATCGATCGAAAAATATATTCTCAGATTTTGATGCAGATTTACGGAGAATCCATCCACAAATCATTTGAGGTACTCTGCTTAAGAATCGGATGGATATTGGCCAAGATATGGGTATCGAAAGGGTCTACAATTGCACTCCCCTCACTGGACTGCATCACTCATACGCCCCGTAAGCCGAATAAAATGTCTTAAGGAATTTAAATTTTAAAATAAAGTCTCTAAGCCTATTATGAAAAATATGAAGAGTCTATTAGACTGGTATTTAGCTTGTAGAGCTAACAATCAAGTAAAACAGGAATGCAGTTGACAAAAGTCAAACAGACATCGCCCATACGCCCCGTGTGGCAGGCGAATACTTCAGAGCTCAGAGTCGTTGGAATCACAGCCTGATTCGTTTATCCCCTTGAACAAATGCCAACAAGCTGGCCAGATACCTGGGATACCCAACCTTCGGACTTGTCGCCTCCGATTCATAAATCTGTTGGCCATTGGGGTCTTCATTAGATTCGCTTACCTGAAAGTAAAGGGAAACAGAAGGGAAAATAGCAGTTAGCTCGGCTCGAAAGTGTGTATAAAATACAAGTTAACTAAAATGTGTGAGACTAAGTGAGTGTGTATGGAGGGATGGGGATGGGATGGGGATAGAGCTCAGGATGAGGATGAGGCTGGGAAGGTGGAGGGATTATAATATGTGTAGACAGGCTGAAAATCTTTTTCGGTGTGGCCCATAAACTGGGTCAAAGGTTGCTGCTCAAAAATGTAGTTATAAAATCCGAAAATCAGCTTGCCACAGGCCGAGACCTCGTCAGGCCCCTCGGCGTGCAAAAGTATTTGCCTATTTACAGCCTATTGCACATTTTGATGGCACCCGACCAACGGAAAAAGGATACAAGAAAAAAGGACCTCTACAACACAAAAAAATTGCCAAAAACTTAGTCGAGCGCAAACCGAAAACTAAATTGAATTGTTCCCAGGAAGGGTGTGTGTGTGTTTGTGTGTGTGTGTGTGTGTGTGCGAGTGTGGGTGGGTGCCCCCACCTCCCACCACCGACTGGCCAAATTTTCCCTCTCGCCCCTTGGGTAACCCTTTGGAAACAACCATCCAGGATATCCTCCACTTACCGAGAATGCTTTGAGGAATACCAAACACTGTATGATGCCCTCCATGGTGTCGCCGGTGAGGCAGAAAGTGCCCGTCAGGTGGCGTCCTTTGCGCCCGACGGTGGCCGCCGCCAGCGAGGCATGCACCAGCGCCCTCTGTTGTGCACCGGCGGCGCCCCCACCAGCTGCCGCACCACCGCCGCCCACCTGCAACGCTGCCCCGCCCACGCTGACGGCGGCGGTGGTTAGCATGCGGGGTAGCGGGGCGGCGCGCATCAAGCGCTCCAGCGAATCCATGGTTATCGGTTATCGGTTATCGCAGTTATCGCCGATTAATCGTCGATTAATATCTTTATCGTATATTCGTGTAGTTTTCGCACAATATTTAATGTCTCGTTCGATATTGTTTAATATTTTCGCACAATAAGTTGTTTTGGATATTTTGTGGTTATTGTTTTTGTTAGTCTGGCATATCGGTAGCACACATTTTACTCAACTGCAAGGATATATATTTTTGTTGTTTTGTTTTGGATTTTGGTTTGAGGTTATCGATTAACACAGACAGTGCGAGAGAAGGAGAGAGAGAGAGCGAGTGGGGGGGGGAAGAAAAGAAAAAGAAAAACGATTCCAAACCGATAGACAGCCCAGACAGAAACCGAAACCGAAACCGAGAGATGGCCAAGATGGCGACTTCTTGGCCAAGAATTTGCAAACACAGCAAGTAAATGAAATGCAATTTGATCGAAAAAAATAGTTAAATAATAAAAAGTTGCATGGTTATCGGTCGGAGGCAGTCGAGCAACTGACCCACTGGATGACTCTACTCCCTCCTATATATCCACAAAGACAGCTCTACTATACTATGTAGTATATAATTTATGGCCCTAAGAAGAGCGCCAAGAAGTAGGCAACAAGATGGAAGAAAAAAAAAAATAGAAATCAACTGCGAAATGCAAAATGTCATTGTGATGACGACTTTGTGGGGCAGCATTTGGCACTTTGTATACGAGCGAAAAATAAACGAGCATACATATATATATGTATGTACGGCAAGAAGGCAACATGACAGCCACTGAGAGCATCAGTCAGGTCCTTGGTCGTCCTGGCCGCCATTTCATCCACAAACTGCTGACCGCTGACTGGGGACTAATAAAATTCAAGTTAAATGGTTGTTAAAAATTTATAGCAAACGCCTCGGCTTCCGTGTGCCATTCTCCAAGACTTTCACAACTCGACAGAGATGGCAATACTAACGAGGAGAGAGAGAGCCATACTCAAATTTCATTCCCGAAAAAAAAAAATAGTAACCCATAAATTTCAAGAGCTGTTTTTTTTATGGCCTGGAAATTGAATACAAGACTGGTTTCTAAATATTTATGAACTCTTCTTCTCTTGTTTTTTTTATTTTATTTTAAAAAAAAATAGACAAACACAAATATTAAAAGCCTAATTATCCCCCAGGTTGATAAACAGACTCTGCCACATCAAAGTGAAATACAAAGGATTACAAATTAGTGGCAGATGCACACACACACACACACGCAGAGACAAACACACCGGGAGAAAAAAAAAAGGTTGGACAACCTTAATTTATGTAGGTAAGCCCAAAACTTTTCCACAACTTTCCGAAATTGTTGAACTTTACTTTGATGCGAAAAATGGGGAAATGGACAAGGACGAGCATTTGAAGAATGGACGGAATAATTTTTGCGAAAAAGGGGTTTCCAACAAAACCAAGTGGAAACTTTTGCCGCCTGACCCACACACATCCATACTCACACACACATGTGTATGTGTGTCTCTTTCTACAACACCCCTCCATTGCACTATGGGGAATTTGCCCGATTTCATGGTATTTAGTCATTTTATCAAAGTTTAAATATTTGGGTTTTTTTTATGTAAACATATTAAAAACATATGGCTCCATATGACTCCATACCAAAAATATTAATAAACAGTGCACTTTTAAAGCTTTGCACTGTTAAAGTCAGCTGTTGCAGCCCAAAGGCACGTGTTTGAGAAGAGGCAGTTTTTGGTTAGCTACTTTGAAAGTGCGATACTTAAAAGTTAAACAAGTTATTAATTCAATTTATGATGGAAAACAATCATACTGGCTTGTATTAAATGTTTTGTGTACTAATATTTTGCTATGTGCCTGTCTTAATAATATTTAGTCAATTTTAAAACAGGTTTAAAAGGTAATTTTTGAAAAAAAAATTAACTTTACGTAGACTTACAAAAAAACATATCGTTGCAACAGTGTAAGTTTAATATATGTCGTAGAGCCATTAATTATGAATAAAAGGAAATTTGTCTCAATGTGCAAAAATGCGCACAATCTGCGTAATTTCGTTTTTTGTCAGGTGTCTTCGAGTTTTCGAACGCGGAGCTTTTTGAAGTATGGCGTACGAAGACGAAGAACTCAAACCAAGAAAGATCAATTCTTGATTTTATTTCGAGCAAAATAAGTAGAAACATGGATGTTGTAAAACACAAAAACAATTTGAAAAAGAATAGCTTATTTTGCCTAAATATAAATGGTAACTGGAAGATATGCAAGAGAAAAAAAAATTTTTTTGAGAAGAAGTTTGCCAATTGCTTGCAAATTCGGAACTTAAGAGTTATATTCATTTTCTTGTCTTGTCAACTGCCAATTGATTTGGAGAAATTTGAACAATTTCGTTTTAAAACTGGGGAACAAATTGTGGATTGTTATCCATGGTTGCCAATGACGGCAACTGTTCACAAAATTATTGTCCACTCAAGGCAAATTATGGAAAATACAATACTTCCCGTTGGCTGTTTCGGAGAAGAAGCGTCGGAAGCACGCAAAAAAGTTATAAAAAGATAGACTGCATAACCCACGGAAGCATAGTCGTGTTAATAATTTCATGGATGTTTTCAACAGAGCCTTAGATACTTCTGATCCTGTTATTTCTTCAACAAACCCTATGAAGCGAATTCGGAAGCATAAAAGTATGGAACTTCCTTAAGAAGTTTTAAGCCTTTTATTGTGCAATTTTGAAGGCCAGGATCAAATTGAGAAAATTGGAGATGAAATTGACGATTTTTATTTTATGTCTGACGAAGACCTTGAAAATGAAAATATTTGATAAACTTATTAGTGTATTATTTGGTTTTCACTTTATCAATTTTTCTATTTGAAATAAAAAAAAATTGTTTCTAGTCCTGGGAGGGCGAATAATAAAAAAAAACCGTTTTGACAAATCTTATTTGTTTAAAAAGTTATTAATTAATTTATCCAAATGGGAGGGCGGAACCACGCCCATTTTACCAAAAAATATTTCCAACGATCTTCATAAGCCTAATGCAAAAAACCGTTTCGAAAAATCTTGTTTAGTTTAATAGTTAATAAATAATATTTCGTCAGGGAAGGGGCGGAGCCACGCCCATTTTTCTAAAAACATTCCTATCGGTGTCTATAACAATAATAAAAAAACCGTTTCGAAAAATTTTACTTAGTTTAAAAGTTATTAATTAATACCATGAAATCGGCCAAATTCCCCATAGTGCATTGCCATCTCTTTTGAAGAAAAATAAGCATACAGTTGCCAGTTGGCTCTGAGGCTCTTTGGAGCTTTTGGATTCTGCCCTGGCTTTTCCGTTGGCTCTTCCGCTTCTTGGGGCGTAATTTATCTCCTACCAGGGGCTACCAGGGGCTACCAGGAGGAGCTGGAGGAGAATCGAGGCTGTCAACAGGAGTCCTCCGTCTCCTCCTGCCTGGCAGAGGCACAAGAAAAAATTTATGCAAACCGACGTATGCCCAACAGGATGGAGGGACTACAAAATATGTTGCCAGCAGTACAGCAAGGATCCAGCAAGGAGGAAGAAAGGAGAAGGGAAGGAGAAGCAGGTCCTTGCCAGCCACTGTATTAACTGCAGCTAAATCAAACTTTTGAGCCAAGTTATGAATTATTTGCCATTGTGCAGCAGGCGAAACATTCCTTTGTCGTTGACTTTGTCCCTTTGGCAGGAAGTTCTGCCCCCCAAGCTCGTCCGCCCGTATCCTTGGGTATCCTTTTAGCCAGAGGACCATCACCACCACCACCACCACCTGCCGAGTCATCCGAGGCCAAGTCAATTTGAACAACATTTTGCCGCAGCTCTGGTTATACAAACAAGATTCCCACATTCCGAAGGCTTTTCGTTTCATTCTCTTGGCTTTTCCTTCACATTTCCACTGTTTTTTGTACTTTTTCTGTCTGTGTGTTTTTTTTTTGTCTAGCTGTGATGATTTGCCATTTGGGGACGGGTCCAAGGCACGTAAATTGAATGACCAGACCAGTTGGGCCAAAAGTTCAGGGGTGAACAGAAACAAAACACCAACAGGCGTTAGCTGAGAGAATAATCTGGCCAATGAATCGAATACTATATACCCTTGAAGATATATTCCTAAATAAATCGATAGTCCTCCGATTCAAATCTCAAGACGATAGCTTCAAAATTGTAGAAACTACATCACTGTGAAACAGATTGGCGGACAGACGGACACGCGGACACGCCTTATCCAGCTCCTAAGATGATCTAAATACCCTCTTCATGGATACAGAAGCTGGGAAGTGAGAAATGCGAAGCAAACTCTGGCAAAAATTAAGTGAAAATAATAAACCGGAGAACTGGACACCGGGTGAGGAAAAATTGAGGACATTACACACACGTTGTGTGTCCTGATGGCATTACAGTTAATTAAAGGTGAGCCCGGTCACAATATCCCGGCCCATGGCACAGTGGTTGTGATAAATCAGAGGGAATTCAATTACATTTTCATGCCAGGACGCAAAAAAAAGGGGGGTTTTTCTGAATTACTCTCTGTGGGGGGTTCGAGGTGTTGGAGTAGAAGGGTTTTTAGTGAAGGATTTTGAATAAAAAAAAATACCAAAAAGTAACTATCTAATAATAAGAGCTTCTATCTTTTCATTTTGAACCAAAAAACTAAACTAAAAATCATCCCATTCCGTTGAGTATGTGTCGAGTCCCCTGTCCACTCCTCCTTAGGTGGAAGTTGGTGCGGGGTTCCAAGTTAAAGTTCAGAGAAAACTGCAAAGTTCGCAAATGAATGGCAGGGCATTGGAAATAATGAGCCGTATTTACATTTCAAAGCGAGCAGAGGAGCGGACAAAAGTTCAGGTCCCAGTCGAAATCTGTTGGGGAATTCGCACCAAGAAGGATTCTGGATGGAGTGGAAAAAGGACTAAGAAGGGGGGGGTGGCGAGTAAATTGCGAGCTTTCGCTGCCAGGATTGCATACAATTTGTTTTATGGTCATGGCGTGCACATTAAACGCGCACTTAATCACACGCAATGGGCGTGGCAGGCACCACAAGACCTCCCACCCAGGCTACCCTTTCCATTATCCTTCAGCTTTGTTGTCGGTGGCGACAAATAAAATTGATTTTGTTTTTGGTTTCAGGCTGTTTTTTTTTACACAAAAAGAAAAGGATTTAATGGATGTACTAAGCCTAGTATTTAAGACTTGAATATAAATTAGGGAAAGCCTGAAAGTCGGGCTTAAAGACAAACTTCTTAATTTTAAACTCTGGGAACTGTAGAAGTCGAAAAACTTGCCATTTCCTGCCATAAAAATTCTATATATTTCATATAATGCCATTTGTGGCCCTTCCCCGAACACTTAACCATTTATTTTCCTATATTTCGGCTGTTGTTCGCCTTATTAAATCACTTTTATTGCCATTGAAATGTGGAAAAGTTTTTTTGTCGAGATGGCTTCGGCTTTGGTGAGTTGGGGGGGTTGGGTCGTGGGCGTATTACGTATAATATGATTTTTGTGAACAAAAATAATTCATATTTATGGCAACTTTTGCTCAGTTCATTGGCAGTTGTCGAAGGAAATCATCATTATTATCGGCAACGGCAACGGGAGAAACATCATCATCGCAATGATGTCTGAAGTAAATGATATTCTGTGGCCATTGTGGCTGAATATTTTGCGGATTTCGCTCCAAGTGGGTAGTGGGTGTGGTGTGGTGTGGTGTGGTGTGTTGTGCTGTGTCCATGGTGATGTTACCATCCAATCCAATACCCCCGTCCGCCATCCAATAGAACATCCATACAATCAGTGCGCCCCGGGGCGGACAGGAGTGACAGGCGTGCCAGGATGCCAGGATGCCAGAATGCCAGAATACCAGAATGCCAGGACGATGTCTTTGTGCGCCTGACAACAACGGTCACAAATAGACAGGATAAACAATGCGAAAAGCATTGTTGTTGTTGTTGTTATTCCAGGGATGAGGACAGGTGCGACCTGTGCGCCTCGAAGACTCAAAGGATTCGGCCAAAGGATTCGGATTCAGAACAAAGGACAAAAATTAGTCGCTATTAGCCGGCGAGTCAGGCTCTGACAAATTCATTTTCAGAAACAAAGCCAGCCTGACGAATAATCTTTGACTGTGACAGGCACTCCCTCCCGCTCCCTCCCCCACCTGCAGGACATCTATTAACTTCTCTTCCCCCAAAATATTTTAAAGTAGTCTCACAGCTAATTATCCTTTTTTTTTTATTTTTACAGCTCGCCACTAATCTGTGACCCCTCCGCACTCAGTCACAGGCCTGCAGCGAGGCGTGTAATTAAATTTTCATGCCTCCTGGTTGGGGTGGGTAGGCGAGGGGGCGTGGCTGGCAAAGGCGCCATTAGAGTGGTCCGAAATGCAAGCCTCAACGCCTTCGAATGCAGGGCGAAGCAGGCGGAAGTAAATGCACTCCCTCGGCCATAAAATATTAAATATTTTTTGCAGTCCGCCCGCCCCTTGACCCACAACCCTCGAGTGTGGCGGCGATGAATGCTTTAGTTTTCATCCAAAAAAAAACCCCAGCCCCGGCAGAGTCGGCTCTCGGATTAAATTCAGACTCTCGGAGTGTCAGATTGTGGAGGCAATCCAACAAAACATCCGAAACAGGCAACCAGATCAACACAAACAGACTTCCAGCGACCAGTCTCCGATATTATATTTCTTACTGCCCAACTGCCGATAGAGAGTCCATCCCAAGATGCCGATGGTGATGCCGTGTCGGTCGCGGTCGGGAACCAAGCTCCCGCCCGACTGCTATGACCGGGTGCGGCGGCCCATCTACGTGGAGGCACCGGCCCTGGCCGCGATCGTGGAGGAGCCGCAGTGCGGCAGTCGGCGCGACAAGCCCGTCAAGCCGAAGGACCAGCGTCGGCCCCTGCCCCCGGGCACCCGCCCGCCAGGACCCCCGCCGGTGCCCGGGCGGCAGAAGGCGGCCGGGGGCAAGGCGCCCAGAGGCCGCAACTATGACGGGGCCAAGGCCACGTTCTTCCACATCAAGGGCCAGTCCTGGGAGTCGAAGGGCTATGCGGAGCTGTCGCTGGCGGAGCTGGAGCGGATGCGGGCCCAGAGGCCGAAGACCACCGAGGAGCGGCGGGCCGAACAGGATCGCCGCATGGAGGAGCAGCAGTACCACACCGCCGAGGCGGAGAGGATGCGCAACTACTACCACGACATCGACGAGCAGCGGCGGGAGAAGGAGCGCGAGGCGGAGAAGCAGCACGACGTGGAGGCCGACGAGGACGTGGACGAGGAGCGGAGGATCGAGGCGAAGCGCCTGCAGGTCCTCCACCGCGCCCTCGACGCCAAGTACGAGGCGGACGAGCGGGTGAAGGAGGCCACCCGGGCCATCTCGGAGGCCAAGTGCAGCGCCATGTGGACGGCCCAGATCCAGGAGCGGAAGCTTCTCAACCGCATCCAGAGCGACCACGACGAGGAGATGGCCCGCAAGAACCTGGCCTACAACAACGCCAAGTGGGGCACCGTCGAGGAGAAGGACCAAGCGGAGGAGGAGCGCCGCAAGCAGTTCGGCATGGCCGTCCGCGAGCAGATCAGCGACCGGGAGAAGCTCCGCTTCATGGCCCAGGACCGGCTGCGGCTCGAGGCCCGCGACATGCGGGCGTTCATCGAGGAGAACAAGAAGGCCGAGGCCGCCGAGGTGGAGAACATGTCGCGCCGCAAGTCCGCCTACCGCGACGAGCTCAACAAGTACATCAAGCTGCACCGCAACTTTGTGCGGATGATGTGCGAGCAGGACCAGCGGGACGAGACGCGGGCCTACGAGTACCTGAAGCTCAAGGAGAAGGAGCTGCGCGCCCAGCGGGCCGAGAAGGAGGCCATCGAGGCGGACGCGAAACGGAAGCGGGACGTCCTCTTCGCCGTCGGCCAGAAGATCCTCGACGCCAAAGACAACCGCGAGGAGATGCACTTCCTGGCGGAGCACGAGCGCCTGGAGCGCAAGTACCGGGAAAACGAGCGCATGGCCGCCGAGAAGGAGCGCCGCATGGCCGCCGAACTGAAGCGCGGCAACCTGGAACAGATGGAGCACCTCAGCAAGATGAAGGCCTGCTACTATGTGCAGCGGGAGCGCGAGCTGAAGGATATGATCGCGTACCGGGCCAAGCTGGAGGAGCAGCTGAAGCGGGAGGCTGACGAGCAGGCCCAGAAGAAGGCCTGCCTCCGCACCAGTGTCGCCTGCCAGATCGAGGAGCGGGAGAAGGCCCGCCGCCGGGAGCTGGAGATGACCAACCTGACCTTCGAGCGGGACAGGGCCGCCGAGGCGCTGCGCCAGAAGGAGATCGACACGGTGATTGCCGTCAAGCTGGACGACCTCCAGAAGCGCGGATGTCTGCCCAACCAGGCGGTCCGATCCCTGAAAGGACGTGTGGCCAATGCGGGCAACAAGAAAATGGGCTCCGAGTACAGTTAGTTGGGGCTAACGGGACACAGGAGCACAAGGACTAGGATAAGAGAACACGTTGACAATGGCATAGTTGGATTTTGAATAAAAATTAAAAAAAAAAAAAAAATAGACATCAGCAAACAGAAACAGACTCTTATCCCTTCGGAGCCAGTCTGTTCTAGAAAGAGACAGTCTGTTGGCATTAGAAAGAGACGGCTGACAGCCGACAAAGTTGCGCTTTACCTCAAATGGCAGAAATTCCATGGAAAGTTGGCAGCTGGAAAAATAATTAGCTCTGCAGAAGTTAGTAATGCGAAGAGCCATTCCAACTTTAGTTCCAACAAAGCTTTAAAAATCAACAACAAAAACCTAAACACGGGCTAGTATAAATCACTAAAAGGGGCGTGGGCCACGCCCACTCGGCACGAAGCTATCAATTTTGTAAAGTCAGAGTCACTGGCGAGATTAATTGAGTTGGATAACTGGCGGAGGGGTAATACGTCTTGGGGAATTAACCCGCAAAGGATGACTAAGGGAGAGGTACCTACACACACACATACACACACTCATCCACCCACACACACATACTCTCTCAAGGATTAAGTTAAAATTAAGCCGAGGCTGAGTAGCAGGCATTTGTTTCACTTAAACTCTGTCTTAAAGCCAGCCAGCCGTGGGTATTGATTCGATTTTGTGGAAATCCAACAAGATAGCAGCCCATGGGTTAAGCTGTTGTCAATGGGTTAAGCTGACCGTGACTGTGGGTCATTTCTCATGGCGGGTTAATGATGCAGAAGAATATTGCCCTTGAGAGGGGCAGAGAGTGGGTTAAGACTGCAGGGGGGGAGTGTAGGGGAGTGGGGGGGTTATATGGCTTAAATAGTCGGCATGATGTAGCATTTATGTCCAACACACACACACACTCTCACACACACTAGCAATATAATTGCCAGTTCCTGTCCGCTGTGCAGAAAACAAAAATCATAGCATACTTTTCTGGGAGGCCATCCTTAGCGAAGCAAGGAGCAGGCAGCAAGGATATATGGATTATAAAAAAAGTATATAAATAAAGCAAAAAATAATGCTTTCAACTGCTACATTGTTGACCACAACTGTTAGTGCCGAAAATTATACATACACACTCCAGGCATCGGAAAGAGGAGGAGGAGGGTGGCGGGATATACATATACATACATATGTGTGTGCAAGGGTGTGCGTGGTTTAGGGGGTGGTCCTTGGTAAAAACAAACAATAGTAAAACTGATTAAGTCGGGGAGAACCACATCAAGCTAAACGATGATGAAGAAAAGACCAAAAGATTACGAACATTGAGCGTTGAACGCCGAGCACGGAGCACAAAGCCAGAAGACAAATGGGGTATATGGGGGGGGGAGAACAGGCTGGGAAGCAGGAGGGGACAACTAAGGGGGGGATAGAAGTTAACTTGATGCGGGCCAAGGATACACAAACACACATGGTCACCAGAAACGAAAACAGAAAAACAAGGGTAAGGCCCAACCCACTGGTCGAAATGTGAAGAATAAAAGAACAGAAGGACTCTACCACACACCAGACACATACATATACATATATATCGAATAATTGAAAGGATATACACATAGACAGCTATCTATGTAGTGTGAGGCACAATTTGTATGATATGATAGTAATGTTCTGCAGCTTCCTGCTCTATCCCTTCATTTTTTATATTTTGCTCCTTTTTGTGTTACGCCACCAACAATGACAGCAAAATTAGTCATTGTCCTCAGCTCCTGCTACTGCTCCTCCTCAAACTTCAGCTCCTGCTCCGGCTCCTGCTCCTGTTCCTGTCATTTGCATATAAATATATACATCTTTAGGTGTGTGTGTGTGTGAGTGTGTTTTCCTAGTCCTGACAATTATGTACAATTTACTTTGCATAAAACTCAAAAGCAGAGGTTTAAAAGCGACAGACCTACACTCAGAAAACTGGAGTGAAGAAATCTTTCAGTTTTATATCCTTATAAGTCAGAGTCCTGCTACCCTTCCATTAAGTAATTAAAATCTCTCTCAGTGTACACAAGAAACAAGATGGGTTGGAGACACTCACAGTGTCCTGGCCAAAGCCAACTAGTTAGCATATTTGCCGTTCAGACCTGGATTCCCAAGTGGCTACCAGCTACCAGCCTTCCTCTTCCCCAACACCCCCCAAAGAATTCTCACAAAAAATACAAAACAGGACGAAAAAAAAAAAAAACAAAAAACCAGAACTAGAAACTAGAAACTAAAAAAAAAGGCAGGATAGGTGGAAAAGTTAAGCCAACAGTGTAAACAAAAGTACAAAAATTTAAACTGCGAAACACACGCATCAAATCTCAACTGGAAATCCCAAAAAATATTCAGGCAACTCACAGGCATGTCACAGGAATCGGATGTGCGACCTTCCTACAACTTATTTTAATTAACTATTCCTTATTCATATTTCTCTTATGTATTTTTTGGTGTCGAGCTGCAAAAAGTTGTGGAATTATTAGCAGTACAGTGGGTGGATAGAGTGAGAGAGATAAAAAGGAGGCAGGTGATGCAGGTGGACAGGATATGCGGGTGCTCTATGATTTCAAGAAGTGTCTTCACGTACAGGTGAGGTGAGATTTAAAAAGGTGAGCTTGAAGTGCGCTGTGAGAAAACTATAAGACCCCGGGAGTAGGTGGTGTTGTGGTGAGAAAAGTGCAACGGTCGCCATAATTCGTGGTGATCTTGGGTGATCGGGCGATAACGATTGAGGTGAACTTTTTTGAGGTGAAGAGAGGTGAAAGTACGCAGGCAGGTGATGGATAGTTAACAGTAAATAATCAAGAAATAAGGACCCTCATAAAGGACTTAAAATCATGTTTAAATGCTGTGCAAATTCTTTGAGCAAAATGCTTGAATCGAACAATTTTCATTGATTTTTGTGTCGGTTTTTGGTTGGCTCCTCTTCGATTTGTCATTGTTTGTTTTTCTTTTTGTTTTCTTTTGGTTTTTTGTTGGCTTATGGTTTCGTTTTTTCTTTGGTATTTGTTTTTGTTTTTTTTTTAACTTTTTTTTTTGCTAACCTTGTGTGGGGTGTTTCGCTTTGGACAATTTTGTGATTTTGGTTGCATTTGTTCTGAATTTGAAAACTGATTAGTTTGGCTTTTGATTTGGCCTCGATTTTTGGATTTGATTAACGATTGATTTGGTGATTTTGATTTTTGATGCTCGATTTGGCGATGCTCGATTTTGATTTTGATTTTGGCTTGTTATTATTTTTTTAGCTTTTTCGTATTCGTAATCTTATTCGTTTTTTTCGATTTAGGATTTTCGATTTTGGTGCAATGGTGAGAGAGAGAAAGATAGCTGGACTTTGTACAGGTATGAGCTGAGAACTGAGTTATCGAATTGAAAGATTGATAGAGTGGTGATCTGATTTAGAACTTCTCCGATATGCTATAGATGCGCTTAACGCTCACGCACTTGCGTCGCAGCCGTTCGCACTCGATCTCCCTGAAGTCGGCGTGCGAATTGGCGCCCAGCGTTGGGCCGACGTGGGCAATGTTCAGGTCCGAGGGTCGATGGTCCTGCTGGTCAATGGAGATGTGATGGATGCGGGGCAGCTGCTGGTGGCGCGAGGCGGCACAAATGTCCGGCTCACTGGTGGCTCCGCCCACGTAGTTGTGCAACTCGCGCTCCTTCTCGGCCTCGTCTTCGTCGTCCTCCTCCCCGGGCGAGGGATACTCCTCCTCCTCGTCGACTTCGTCCTCGTCGTCCAGGTAGCGACTCTCTCGCTCCTCCTCGCACTGCGGGCACTGCTCCTCGGCAGACTCCTCCCCGGACGATCCTTGGCCCTGCTTGTTCTGGCAGATTATGGCCCGCTTCAGCTCCACGAAGAGCGGGGACGAGGGCTGCAGCTGCAATGGACCCACAGCCGGCGGCTGTCCGGGCTGATCGAACAGACTGGGCGGTATCTCCCCAGCTGGCAAGGGTTGGCTGGTGATCACCGATGCCCCCAGGACACTGTGTCCTGCTCCGGCCCCGGCCTCGGGGTGGATGCGGTTGTCCGAGTTGGTGGACGAGAACTTCGAGAGCAGGGACCTGGAACTGGCCTTGTTCTTCAACTGCTGCTGCTGCAGGTAGTAGTAGTCCCTGGGCAGCGAGGATGTGGCGTGCAACGGATCCTCTGGGTCGTAGTAGCCCAAGGCGGCGGGACGAAAGAGCCCGGGAGTGCTCAGAGAGTGCAACTGCTGTTGGTTCTGTGACTGCGACTGAGACTGCGACTGTGTCTGAGATTGCGACTCCTGGTCGTAGGAATCACTGATAACGCTGGCCGTTGAGGCGGTTGGCGTGGTCGTGCTGCCCAGCGTCGATTGGGAGCCGGCGGCGGCGGCAGCGGCGGCCGCTGCGGCGGCAAACTGAGCGCCCAGCAGTGGCGTCAATCCCGCCAGGAACTGCTCCTGCTGCTGCTGCTGGCGCTGTTCGTCCAATTCCCGGCGATAGGCCTCGATCTGATCGCTGGGCGAGGGGGTGTTGCTGTGAATGCAGCCCTGAAAGAAATCCAATGCCTCGTACAGGATGAAACACAGGCCCAGGACGAGGAATGTCTCCATCATAAGCAGCTGGTAGCCATTTGAAAAGTGCCGAACGAAACGGTACGGAACGGAAACGGAAACGAAACGAAAACGGATACGAAACTAGTACTGAGAAAACGGAAATGCGCGCGTTACCGAAACTGACTTGCTTTGGAAAATTCTTTACGTTTAGCGTCTACTTGAATTTCAATTTTGGTTTCTTTTCAACACTTTGGCACTTCATTTTCATTCTCCTTCGTTAGTCGTTTATCGTTTTACGTTTTTCAGTTTTTCAGTTTTTTATCTTTTCAGTATTTCAGTTTTTTTTGTTATCCTCGTTATCCTCGGCTGGAATTGAAATTGAAACTGAAGCGTTTCCTTTGTTATTCAATGCAAATTAATTTCGAATTTCGAATTTGTTTGTCTCGTTTGCCTCTCGGCAGCTCTGGTGCGCACTTTTCATTTGCATAAATTAAACGATTTTTTGGAAAAACTCTTTAAAGTTGAAACTCTGCCGGCTACTGTTATAACTTCTATATATTATATTTATTTTTTATCAGAAGCGAGTGCAGCATACACATACACAGCATACACATACAAGGAATGATATACATACATATATGGACAGAGAGTGTGTATCTATATAGAGTGTGGTGTATCTATTTACAGCAGATCTGACAAAGCAGCAAAGCAGATAGTGGACAAAAGTTTCTTTATTACTGGTATGTGGTGTGGTGAGTGTTTGTGTTTTGAAAGTTAAGCGCTAAAATGTTGGCCAAAAATTCATAAAAAGAAACATAAAACTGTCGAGACCCCGGGGAGTGGCGACCACCAGTTAGCTGATAAGTGCGGGTGCCTCAAAGGATTCCCCGAAAAGTATCTAAAACACAGAGATACAGAGATACAACGATACGAGGAGCAAAAATATGAAAACCCCATGAATTATTGAGCATTACAGTGGGAATTCTGTTCTCCATTCCAATCGATGAGCTAGTGTCTGGCTTCTCATGCCTTATTCATGCCCAAAAGTGGAGTTCGATTCGAAGTAAGATGGAAAATTCCATCACATATGTATTCATTGAACATTTTGCTCCATTTGTGCATTTTTGACGAGCCACCTGCCCCCGCCCACTGACTCACTCACTGAATATTTGAATGTTGGATTTTGTTGCACTTTTTTTTGTTTACAACTTGCTCTGGTTTGTTGTGATCGTTATTATGGCGATTACAGTGCGTATTGTCGGTTGTCGGAGGTGGAGGTGGACCATCGACTGCATTCGAAATTGAAATATTTCGAAAATTTATACACATTTCCCTCGGCGTGTTTGATAAGCTGACAGTCACGGGGCAATTGAATGAACCTAAACTCCAGTGAAAACAACTTGATTGGCTGGCGGTGGAAGGCAAACAACAAATACCAACAAATAACAACAAAGGGGTTTTTTGCGGTTCAACTTTCAATTGAACAGATTCAACACGGACATGGCTTCAATGAATATTTACAATCATTTAACTGACATCAAAGTCATAATAATCATAAAAATCATCGAAAAAATGAGGAGTAATAATCATAAAAGCATTTTCGGACCGACAGGGTGGTGGCTTATTTATTTATATACGATATTATATATATTCTCTGATTTTTTTTTTTTTTTTGGAGCTCATACAGTAAGGCAATGATGCGGAAAAGGGCAATCCGGAGTCAGGGTCGAGATCTCTGGCAGCTTCTTTTTTTTTCATTTCGGGGTTAGAGAAAGTCCCAATTCCCTCCCATCAAAATGCACAACGTGTCGTTATTTATGCTCCACCTCCTCCTGCTCTATTCCATCTGAAAATCCCCTTTTTCCAACCACGAAGGCTTAACCCCAGCATGACAAAGCGCTCCTTACGCAGGACCAGAAAAAAAAGGACACAACACACCATAAGCCGCGAAACGAATTGGAGAAAAAAAATATCCCTAAGCCCGGGCGTTTATTTAAGGCTTTTAGCCAAGAGGAGATCTGTCTACTCTGCCCCCCCTTCAGTTTCGATTCAGATTCCCCAAAGTTATGTGCTTTTAATTTAGGAAACTTTCAAGGTAATAGAGTAAGGACTTTCATAATTCATCATTTAGTTGGAGAAGGACTGTCAGATTCGAAAGAGAGGGGGATTATGCAACTCTGTTGGGATGGCCCGAAATTAATTCCAAATTTGTTCAACTCAATTTGCTGGAAAAGTTTCTGGGCCCGATTTGTTTTGATTCCTGATGTCGAGGCACTCTAATTAAATTTTTAATGTCTGTGCGGGTGTTCGAGAGTGGGAGTGGAAGTGGGAGTTGGTGGGGAAAAGGGAAAAAAGTTTTTCCCAGCTTGTATGGAAACTTCAAACAAATTCCAAGTAATTGCACATTGAAATTGGCAGGGACAGGGACAGGCATGGCAATGGCGATGGCGATGCAGAAAAGAGACAGGATAGAGAAAGAGACGACATCATTGAATGAAATTGCAGTCTGTGGGCCAAGTTAAGGACACATTGTTATGCCCACGTTCAACTTAACATGGCCACCCCACTTCTCCCCCGCCCCACTCTCTGTATAAAGTTGTTAAAAAAAAAAAAGATGCTAACGAGGAGAAAAGGCCAGAAAGAGAGGGCCATAGCATAGTTAGAAAGAGAAGTGCAGCTTAAAATTGTTATCAACAATTTAATCATTGAAAACCATTAAAAAGCAAACAACAAGAACTTTGTTAGCCCCACGGCCCTGCCATCGCCCTCACCCTCGCCCTCGCCCTCTCTCTTTCTTTGTCAGTTGCTGCCATCTCTTTCTAGTGTTCGTACTACACTTTGGTGTTGTTGCTTTAATTGCTGGACACAATGCAGCTGTGAAGAGTTTTCGGAGTAGAGCCTCCATTTTGGCCATTTTTCTTACTTTTTTGTTTTCTTTTTTTAAATTAAATTCCAGCCAGCTCTGCACCAAGGCCTTTAATTAGAAAGAAACCGCCGTAAAAACCAGAAAGAGATGGCCCACCAACTGCGTCAGTCATTTGTTTTCGTCACTGACACACACACATACCCATAAGGATATGCAGAGGGTCTTCGTGCCAGGGTCACCAGGCCAGAGATGCTGAGAATAGAACCCCAAAGTCGCACTACAAATGCACTTGGTTGGGCTTCTAAATAATCACCCATAGTTTCTACAAATAATTACAAGACTCTTTCTCCAACTTTCTTTGCTGGAATTCCCAACCAGTTGAGGTCCCAGAAAGGTCATAGATACTCCAGCCTAGGCAGCAATTGTCATACACTGCCTGGTATGTAGTTTCAACTGCAGCTGTTTGTTGCTGGCGACCAGAGCCACTTCATTGTGTGGCCAAAAGAGGGGCTGGCTGCCAGAGAAAGTAAACCAACATAAGTGTTGCGTCGTTCGTTTATTGTTGTGTGTGTGTGTGTGTGTGAGTGTGTGGGTGGGTGGACCTCGGACCTCAGCAGGTCATGTTAACTAACCTCCTTTTACGAAAAAAAAACAGTCTCCTCCCCCCAGCTCCTTGCCCTTTTTTGGAGTGTTGTCCTTGCCTGCAACATAAATTTTTAAACACTTGCCCCTCGAATTGTGGCATCTCGTTGGCACTGCGGCTTGTCAACTGCAGCAACCTTGCCCTTGTTCCTTGCCACGCCCCCTTGCCACACACATAGACACACACAAATTGCGACAATTTTAAAACAATTACAACCAAACTCAGGGCACTTGACAAAAATAATTGAAAATTCTACAAATAGTTTATAATAATATAAAGAATATTTATGGATATTTATGGATATTTCTTTCAGTGCATAAGGGGAAGAGAAGCCTAGTCCCAGCTGGACTTTCTAGTGGCCGAGTTAACAATTTGTGCAATTCGCTTTCACGAGTCGACCACAAAAACCGACGGAAACATGAGATCATTATGCCACGCACTCTGCGGTCCGCACCATGACTACTATACTATATAGTCGGCATATATCGGGCCCATCGAGGGCCCGTGTTTATTGGAGTGCTTGTGGTGCCAAGAAGGACACTATCGAGTGTCAATTAACGCAAATCAATTGCACACACACATGCATCCCGGCAGTAAGAACTTTAATTGCGGAAAAGTTTTTTCGTTTTTTTTTTTTTTTTTGAAAAAGGAAAACTCCATTATTATTTTCGCTGTGCCATTCTGCATATCCGTGGTGCAAACTTTCCAAGTTTGTTTTCGTTCAATTTGCTGAGCAAACAACTGAACCATTAAGAGCTTCTTGGGAGATAACAGGGCGTATACGCAATGGATGAGGGGTGCCAAGAAGCTCTGGGTAATTAGCTAAATATTAAAGTTAAAAATTTTAACTAAAAATTGAGGATTAAAGTCGTGTGCCAGTGCTCTCTTTTATATTATTTTTAATATTTTTAATAATCCTGGAATGCATATATGAGCCTGATGTTTGCTTTCGGCTTTCGCCGAAGAATGCGCCTTTTGTGAAGAGCTTCTCTGGCTCCTTTCTCCCTCTTCCCTTTCTTGTTGGCCTTATTGTATTGACTTTCTCCTCTTTCTCCTTTCATTTTTGCCCAGATGGTCATTAAAAATATGAAATTTCATGTGGGCACACCCTCCACTCAATGGAACACTTAAATGAATTACAGTTCTGGGTAGAGTTGCCATCTCCCTTTGCATATCCTTTTTATTCATGGAAATCGGTTTGAATTGAATGGCCAGCAGGGACGAAAAAAATGTAAAGAGAGAGTGAGAGAGCAACAGGATAAGATGGAAATATGTTTTTGCCCATTTCCCATTTCATTCTTTCGGGAGAGTTTACGAGTATTTTTTTTCCAGGACCTCTGTTTATCATTTTTTTGGCAATTAGTCCTGACTGTGACTGTGTTTTTTTCGAACTTGGTTAAGGTCTCTCGATTAAATGAATTAAATCATATATGTTGCAGAGACGAGTGTCTGACAAAAAAAAATAATATATTATGGATATTTTTATGGCCAAACACCTCGCCAAAATGGCCCAAAGGACCTGTCAAATCGGCTGTCAAGGCACTGGGGTTAAGGGTTGCCAACAATAACAACAAAACACATCACTAGAAGGACAATACTTTGAGCAAAAGTTGCACAAAAATTGACAAAACATAAATAAAATATGGTGCAGACAATGAACAAGATTCTCGGCTGTTTTTTATTATTTTTTTGTTGATCCTTTTTTGGGGGAAAGGACATGTGACAGTAGCAGATGCCAGGTGAGGGCATCCTGTGACGTTAATATCGCCTGATAAGTATTGACACAAGTCCTGTTCGT